GATACTGTATAAGGGAACTGGCTATATAAGTGAGAAGGTACATTGAAAGTACCAGATGAAATAAATTAAAAGCACTCTACAGCTCTTTTACAGATAAAAAATATATGAAATGCACATCATTTCAGTCTTAACTGTTCCAGGATTTACATTACTTATTGGTTTTATTGATATATGATTGTAATAGGTAGTATAAACCTCTAACTGCATCCACAGAATCATAAAATAATGTGGGTTGGAAAAAAACATTGCTCTAGCTCCCTATGCCAAGCATGACTTTGCTGTCACTCAGGAAATATATCAATCATTTCACATATTTTGGAGAATACATCTTAGCTACGTCAACAACAGTCACCAAAGTGACTGTAGTGCCATGTCCAGATACCTGAGGGATCTGTGAGCAGTAACATTTCTGTTCACATTTGAAATTTGCAGCAGAACACAGGAATGTGGAGCACAAAGTGCCTGGGATCATAGCAGAGTTCCCTGCTTTGTCTGCTTGGTTCAGTTAGTAGAATAGTTCAGACTCTGGCACATTATAGTTTAATCATGCCTGTCACTGGCATGGAGATAGACCAGTAGTTACCATAGGGTAATATCCATGTGACTAGATGATATTAGTGTATGGATGCATGTATATATATGTGTGTGTGTATATATATATATATATATATATATATACACACACACACACACACACACATATATATGCATGTGTATATGTATATATATTTGTATGTATATGTATGTGTATATTATATATAATATATTTTAATATATAAAATATATACATAATATATTGTAATATATTACATATATTAAAAACATTATAGAATATTACAGCAACCAAAATATCTTGCTTTACTTCTTTTTTTAAACCAGAGTACCTAAAACCTTTATGTTCCTATCTTTTTAAAACTATAGCAGCACATAATTTTATATTTAGTTAATTTATGAGTATAGATGAGTTATTTGCTGAGATATCCTGTCACCAGTTTTTCTAGAGATTTGACTCTTTCCCATTTTCCATTGCAATATTTATGACTCAAATTTAAATTTTTTTGGTATTAGAAATCTCATTTGTTTGTAGACATGTTTATCTGTGTTATGCTAACAGAGGATCTTGTGTCTGTGACTAAACAGCAAAGTTCCTATAGCTAGTAGAAGAATAACATGTCCAAGGATTGAAATCCAGCAGCCATCCACAGACACTGACAGGTATTGCCATTGTATTTTAGCTGAAGTTTGAAATTTTGATACTTAGAAAGTGTGTTGTTGTGTTTTTCTTGTTCTGTTCAGTGTTGCTAGATGAAAAAGATGCACTAGGAGCTGAATTGTAGTGTAGTGTAATTCTACAGTAATTCTATTTTTATTTCTTCAGATTTTTGTTACAAGAAAAATCTAATGCTAAAATGGTGATTGACATGATCTCATCATTTGTACCAAGTAAAAGATTGTAACATGGATTTTAAAATAATTTTTTTTCAGAAAACTAACATATCTGAAAAATTAAATTCAGAAAGTCTTATTTACTACATTGGGAAAAGAATTTGCATTTGAAATTTGCAGAATATATATTTATATATATAAATGGAGACAAATCAGTATAAAAATAAAGTTTGGTAACACCTTTGGTTAGGTACTACAGCAACTAGAGTTTACAGTGGTACCTAAATGATGTTAGATTCTAGCTCTTATACTTGATGGGTTTGGAATAAGAAGTTAGGCTGTGAACCCTTACAGAGCTTTCTGTGTAGTGACTTACAGAGAGCTCAAACAGTCTCACAGTGATCAGCTTGCTTGGTTTAGAAGCAAACACTGCTGTGCATTTTCCTCAGAGTAAGGGAGAGTTATGCTTGCGAGTCTTGCAGACTTTGGCAAAGAAATTTGCCATCTACCATGCCTGACCTCCCTAGCAAAAGTAGAAGGGTGCTACTATAGGCAGTACTAGATGGAGGAAGTTTGACATTTCATTAACTGTATTTTCATAATGGAAAGTCTGTTAGCAAAAGTAAGAAGTACTAGTGTACATTAAAATATTATTTCGATGTTGAATAGTTTCCCTCTTTAAATATTTCCCTCTTTAAAAACCACTAATTCATATGATACCATTCGGAATAAGAAAAGAAGAAAGTTTCATCTAGTAATTTGTAAGCATAAGTCTTTAAGAGTGATACCTGAAAATTTAGAAACTTCCATTTTTAGTTTAACTTCCTCCCATAATTATGGCTGGATTTTGATATTCATACATAGTTGTATACAGTGGTAAGGAAGGAGTTTCACTGCACAAGCAGGTTATTGGAATGATGTCTTTCCTATAAAAGGAACATTTGCTGAAGACTGGGATCATGTAGCAAGTGTGTTAAAAGGATAAAACAATGAGTGAGGATGAAGACCAGAGAGTAAAACTATTTTTTGAATTGCTCTTTATATGTGTATGATGTAAAACCACAAAGTGAAGCTTTCAAGTGGAAGACTGTCCCCTTGAAATAGCCCTCCAATTGCTGCAGTGGTTATTGAGAGGATTGCAGCCTGTAGCCTGGAACCTGAGGGTGACAATCAGTTTAACCTCACGACTCAACTTAGTCTTCAAATCCTTCAGTCTTCAAAACAGCATTGCCACAGCTTCAAAGGTTTACTGCCAAAATCCACCCTCTCCTTCACTTTGGGGATTTCCTGGTTGTTTTTCCACTTGAAATGCCCACTGGAGATTGTAGCAAACTGTATATTAGCTACTGAATATGAATTTTTTGAAGCCTTCATCTGTTAGCATTGTGGTTAGCAGCAGTTGCTCCATGATGTTCTGCAGAGCACAAAACTTGCCCACTAAGACATTAGTATTGATCCCAATGGTAAAAATGCCTCCTTCCTTCTAATCAGGCAATAGGTCAGAGCCTTTATCCAAAAAATTACTTTTTATACCTATAGAGCTAAAGAGAATGAGGCCTCACAAGTCACAAATGGGAGCCTTAAGCCTCTCATGAAGTCTTTATGAGAAGCATGTTGTTGCCACTCAGCTGTTCCTCTGTCCTACTGGCTGTGGGAAGGAGAGAGAAACAGAGCATGGAGTGATTCCCTCACCATATTGCTGCTGGGTGCTCCAGTGCTCCTCTACTCACTGACGGGAAAAATGCTGACAGACCCAAAAAAGTCTCTGTGGGTTCATTAATATTCTTAAATATGTAGATAAACGAGGTAACAATGGGTTTTTAAAGGCCTGGATATTATTTTTTTTTGTAATTTTGTTGAATTTAGGAATATTTTTTCTCAGAATTTATTCCCAGGGTCAAATAATGTATTCTATGGTCACTTCTCGCTATCATGCAGATGGGTGATGTTTTTCTCACCTTCCATAAAACTGAAATCTCTCTTAAACAGTCATTTAAACTAAACAACATTCCTACTAAAGCTAAGGTTGTGTTTCTTTGTCTATCAACAATGTAAAAGAAGCGAGACAGTGGATGTTTTTGCTGATGAAGCTTCCCATTCAGAAACAGAACTGATAGAAGAACAAGTGAGGTAATCCTGTGGTTTTGTGCCAGGCTCATTAGCACAAAAACAGCCTTTAGTGCCTCAGCTTCTAATTTTTGTTTATGTGTCTCGCTGTGGTGTTTGCTTGTTAGGAGCTTATAGATGTAGGTTCATGATGTATGGTATTATTCTGAATCTGTCTGTGGCAAGTCCTTTGTATGCTCTAGGAGTCTAGTTATGACCTCATGGAAGGCCTGAAAAGATTGGTTTTAATGAGTGTTTTATAAATGCATGCAGCAAAGTCAACCGCTGTACTCTATTTCAATGCTTTTAGAAATAAAACGCTGTTACTAACACAAAAGTCTTCATAATAAGGCTGTGGTATGTCTCTCTCCTTTCTGATACTAATTAAAATTTGACTTCTTGTTACACTTAATCACCATCAAGCCACTCATTGTATTAACTGACTTCATTGTAAAATGCATGACTTCGCTCAAGGAAAAATCCTGAAGGGTACACATTCCCCATTTGTATTCTGTATCTGTTCAGTTACCCAAGGAGAGCTGGGAGGAGTGATTTTAATAAATAGCTCCATTAGGGTATGGATTTTACTTTTTTAATTGCCTTGATTTAATGTATTTGGAGATATTGCTAGTAAATACTACTCCTTGAAAACAGACCAAATTCATTGGGAAAAAAAGGTGGGGCTTGATTAATTTCTGAAAGTAATGGTCTGATTAATTGCCTAAGATAGTAGAAGATATCATTCGTTGATCAATAAATTCTCCTTTACTCAGTCTAATTCTTCCCACTGCATCTCTAACAATAACTTTTTCCACTACTGTTTTGGTACAGTTCCATAGGTTGTGGGTTAAAAAAAAATTTAATTACAAACCAATTTTTTTCTAATTGTTGGATCCTCTGTAAGTACTAATGATGTAAATTTTCATCTGAATACAGTCTGAGCACCACATATGAATCTATCACTATAGCCTAGCCTGTATCTAACAGACATCCCCAAGACTAATAACAGTTAACAATGCTACATGGTAATTATAACATCTAGATTGTGAACTTTCCTACAAGCAAGATTGCTACCTCTAGAGAGAATGCAAACTGTAAAAAATGTGTAGAAAGCTATATGAGGAATAATGCACAATTAAACTGCACAGTTAATGAGTTCTTAGCTTTATTGAGACTTAATATTATGTCAGCTACTTTTTATTCCCAGGTTGATATATTAATTGACAAAATAATATTATTTTAACCCAGAAGTTGTCAGGAAACAGACTATTGCATGGATAGTCATTACTGAGACATTGGAAACATTTCAGCCCATTTATCAAGAGTATGGAGCAAGTCAAATATGTGTAAAAAACCTGTATGTTATCAAGGAGTTATCTCATAAAATTTATTCCCCCTAAAAATGTATATAATAAAATGATTTGCTCCAAACCGGTATCATGCAGCATATTTTATAATCAATAGAAAAGTCAAAGTTCAACTGAGCTGCTTTTTGACTAACATTACAGGAATTGTGAAGCAGCAGATAGACAGCCATATCAAAGATCCAGATCAACAGAGCAACGTCCTGTGCTAGAGCGGACCAACTCCCGCTCCCGATCCACAGAGCGTCCTGACTCAAACCTCATCAGGTCGATGCCTTCATTAATGACTGGAAGATCTGCCCCTCCTTCACCTGCCTTACCGAGGTGAAACAGACAAATCAATCAGACTAAACCCCTTCTGCCCCACCAGCTCACCATTTTATTTTCCCAGTAGCTAATTGGTATCGCCTCATCCTTAGCTGATCACTAGCAGCAATAGATACTAACCCTTTCAGTGTGAACACACTATTTATATTCTACTCTGGATATAATGGTGTGGATACCATTGCAAATTGCTTGCTAACAGTATTTAACTACGTTTGTTTATGATTTCTCATTTGTCAGGAATCCTGGATGGTTTCCACATAAAGCACCTCATAACTATCATATTCTTCTCTTACAGAATGAGAAATTATTTGTGTTCATCAGACATTGCTTATGGAACAACCATCATAACATCAAATGAAACTATTTTTTTTTAAAAAAAGTTTCTTTAGATGCACTGTACTAACTTTGTCTATTACTTATCATTTTAACCACCATTTTCTCTGACTACATTTAACTGTGCCATAGTCTGTACTGTTCCTGTGTGAGTACCCCTGATTGATATTTTGAGGATTTCTATACATTATTCTTAGCTTAAACAAACATAATACAATAAAAAGATTAGCACATTTTGGTCTAGATCATGTTCAGGAAAGCCTTTCTTTATTTTAGAACTGCAGAATACATTCTTTTGTTTTCGGAAAGTTAGAGTTAGCATCATCAAATCCCCAGTGAGAATTGAGTCAAATATCATTGTCTTTCCTCAGTTCATTACTCTGTTCAGACAAATTCATGTAATCTCACTGCAACTCAAAGGTAATTTAACAAAATACAAGCTGAGTAAAGATAATTGAATTTGACTTGTGAATAAATTTATGTGTATGTGGCTATTATATCCACATGCACATGAATATGCACACAACATGTTTTCTGGCTTGACTGTGTGAAAAAGCATCTTATGGAAGCAGCTTATGGAAGCATCTTCAGCCTTAATTTGGCTTCCTTTTCATAGAGAGATCTCTCTTTTTGATCAGGTCTTTTTCTGAAAAGATACAATAGTTTCCCTCTGAGACTGCAAGGGTCCCAAATGATGTAAAGTCTACTTAGTCATGCCATCAGTTCTTGGCGATACTTAAGAATGACTTTGTCATTTAATGGCTGTGGTTTGTTTTGATATGTGTCCCATAGGTCACATCCTCGAACTGGGTCTGTCCAGACAAGTCCATCAAGTACTCCAGTAGCAGGGCGAAGGGGCAGGCAGTTACCGCAGCTCCCACCCAAGGGGACGTTGGAGAGAAGTAAGTGGATGGTTTTCTCCCTCATGACATTACCAAATTGCTCATGGAGGTTGATTATACTTATTATTTTTCTTTTGCCATTGCAGTTGAAATCTCTTGAGTTTTTGTGTACAGAGTTGGGATTTGGTAATGGTATTGCATTTTTTTCTTCTATTATGTTTTAATATCTACAGTACTCTTGGCTGACATGAATAATCAGCAGTATAATGCACACAAGACAAGGTGGACTATTAGCATGATCCTGTTCCTTTTGAACTCAGTAGGTGTTTTGTCATTGACTTCAACAGGCACAGGAAATAATCTTTAGTATGTTGTCTAGTGACAAAATTCTGGCTCTTTTGGGAGTCAGGAACCCAGCTGATCACTTGTGGGCTCACATGGAGTGTATTACAGATTGCTAATAGAAAGCCTCTGCATCTTGAATCGGGAAGAGCAAGAAGACAGGTAATAATCTTTAAAATAAGGAACGTCAGATGTTTCATGATTCACGTTTTACTGGTACTGTTATTGTGCTTATCTTTAATCTTCTATTAAAAGCACTGGTTGATGGAGATATTTACTGAAATGTTTCGAAGCAGAGGTATATAAACACATTTTTGACAGCAAATACATTTTCACCCTTCTATTTCTAGTAATTAGCTGTGCCGTGCAAAATCAGTCTAAATGGCCATAGACACTCCTTTGTTTAATGCTTCTTGACATGTATTTTGTAACTTTTAAGAAACTTCTGTTGGTTTTAACCCCTGTGCTTTGGTTCCTTTTTTTTTTTTTTTTTGTTTGTTTGTTTGTTTTGTTTTTGTGACTTTCCGTAGACAATGGAGACAAGGAGATAGAATCTTATGAAGGTCTGTACATAAAGAAGGGCTTGTTTTTCACCTGAAAGCCTTTTTTCACAGGCTGTATAGGGAAAAACAAACCCAACTGCAATTGATGTTACTTGATTGCACAGACATAGTCAGAATTATTGTCATAATGATTTAGTCTGGATTTTTAGATCTATGGCTCATAAATTTTACAGGATTCTATATGAAAAAAAGACAATATAAATAATACTATCTAAATATGATTATCATTAGAAAAGTACCTAGACACATACCCATTTTAAAAAACCTAGAATTTACCCTATGGCAAATAAGAGAATTTCAGCAGTTATGTAGGTACATTTCCAGGATTAGCAGATATTCAGGCACATGTTTAAATATAAGCATTGGAGGCTGTTTGACATGTTTTATGTTAGCCACACATTCAATCAGAATACTGTTTTAATTGCAAATATTTTATAGCATGATACATTTGCTGAATTAGTACACAATTTGCAAATAATATGGGAAAAAATAGAATTGAGATAATCTTTCAAAAAGTTAAAATATTTTGCTTAAAATAAAGGTCCCTTATATTTTGTAGTACTAAAACCATTTAATTTACTTAGTAGCAAGCTACAAGATATCAATTGCAGTCCTTGGTTATACCACTGAGGGTCTTTATGTAGTTTTACTGTGTTTGTCTCATCAGACTTTTTAATTTAGTATTTCCAATGTTTAGAGTATTTATTTCCATTTGGGAAACAGAACTTCATGAAAGGAAAACTCTTGTTTTCTCAGATCATCACTCTGTTAGATTAATTTCTTTGTCTTATGTGTTGTGACTTGCTTATATGAAATACAGTCTAGATATTCCAGGCAATAACCACATCTATTCACATGATGTTTGCTGTCATTGCTGTATATGCTTTTATGTTTTACCACTCCTCCCTGCTCTTTGCTTAGTACATCTGTTTAGATGGTGAACTCCCTAGAGCAGCAATTGTGAAGTACAGTTTTTGTATATGCAATATATCTTTACTGTGTTTGATTAGAGAGGGTAACAGTCTTATTTATTATTTACATCATAGGTTCTATAGAGAGAAATATAATAAATACAATAAAATAATTATTTTTTATAGGAGTGCTAGAATTGTTTCCTCTGGTAAGTACTGCTGGGACTTGAGGAGCTCTCTTTTTACTCAAAAACTGAGTAATATTTTCCTTTCACTTTGTCTTTTGAAAAAAGTAGTCTTTTGGAAAATCTGGGTCATGGAAAATTGCCAGATGCAGATTTTGATGTTCTAATATGCAATCAAAGCATCATAAGTGACTCAAGATACAGTAACTAGACATATTTAATATTGAATTTACAAATATAAAAATGGTGAACACTCTTAAAAAAACCTAATCCATAGATACAACTTTCATAGAGCATTCTATGTAATTTTCTCTTGAGAATTAAGAGCTCATATTCTAATACCATTAGAGTTCTTCTTTGAGGCTTTTTCTGTCCTTCTTCAGGATTTTCTAATAATTTTCTTTAAAGGGAATAGTAATTTTCTTTAAAAAGGAGAGTGCTCTGCAAGAACAGTAGATTACCTAACTTCGTTCAGTGACAGAACACAATTAAGATTAATAGCAGTCTTTTTACTGTGGAGAATTGAATTTTACAGAAAGTTATTTTAGGCAAATGAAGTACCAGGTACAAAAACTGAAATTTAATAGAATTGGAAACACTGACTATCATAGAAAGAGTTTATATTAGTATTTAACAAATTTAGCATCCAGTAAACCTGAAAGTTTTGCAGATATTTGAGTAGGTTTCAATGCCTTTTTTTTACACCTTGGTGATAATCAAAACTTTTGTGTGTTATTGGGAAGGCGATATGACCAGACCAAAAAATGTCACAGAGTAGTTCTTTCTGCTCTTACAGAACACATACTTGACTCAAATGAAAGTTAAACTTTCTGAATTTTGAAATCAAGGATTTCATTGATGACTAGATTAAGTTAAAATCAAACTGATGAAAAGAGTTACTGAAAGGTACCTTATAGGCAATGATGGATTGGAAATAAGCTTTGTAAAAGAGAAGAAGAAAGAAGGAAAAACTTACCTGTTGCAGAGTTCCACAGTGGTCTCATTTGGTTTGCATACATTTGAATAATCTTTATTTCTTACAAGGTTGTATCTGCATACCTTTTCTTTAAATGTAGTACAAATACCAGAACTCAAGTAGAAAGAAGGGAGTAATTTGCCGTTGGAGATAATATTTTGGTATATGATGTCATTCACTAGAATGTTGAATATGGTGTGCTTATGGCTGTGTGACTAGAAATGGAAAGGAAGGAATCTCAGGGAAAAACCTAACCCTTTGGGTAATTGCTTTCCAAATTAGGATCAGAATTAAAAAAACCTTGATTTGGGTTAGATTTAGTTCCATGAACTGTATTATGTGGTTGGGAGTTTTTTGCTCCAGGACATGAAGGTACCTTTTGAATACTTTATTTCAAGATAGACCAAAGTGTTTGCTTTCAAGAAAGGTATGTGGGAATAGCTATGAAGACCATTCCTACCTGTGGTGTACTGACCCAAACATATTTTTATCAGAGTTCCACATGCTCAGTAGAACATTCAATATCCTTAGTTATGTTGCATTTACAGCCTTTTATGGTCATGATATTTTTGCTAATTAGGTTGTCACTGCTGTGTTTACTGCAGTATCAGATTTGCCTGTTAAGAATGACCAGGTATTTTTGAAATGCACGTCATTAACTCGTCTACCCAGGCTATACCTTAGCATCTAGGCAGTTTGGGACTTTAGATTTTATTAGTTTAGCATATTTTCATGTTATGTGGTTACAAAATAGTTCTGAAAAGATATATGGGACCATCTAACAGATTTTCACTAATGAAAAGCCAGAAGAATTTTTTTTTCAGCTAAACTTTTGCTTGTATGTTTTAAAATTACACTAGAGATAGAAATATCTTGTTTAAATTAACATTTGTAGAAAGTATTGTGAAATTGAACTTGGTTTTAGTGCTGAAATGTTGATGTACTCTTAAGTGTTCTGTATTTTTTGCACTATTGACAAGAAGTGAATAGTGCAGTATTTATAGTTCTTAAGGGTTAACAGGTTGGGGTTTTTTTTCATTTATATGTGGCTATAATTTATTTCTTTGTTCTTACTTGCCTTGGCAGAAAGATGAAATCACTGACCACTTACTCCTAATTAAAATGGAAGACCATAAAGTGGAAGTATTCAATATTCACTCTTTCAGTTCAATGTTAATTACTAATCAGAGAGAGAGCATTTTTTCCTAATATATATTTTTACTTTTCCTTTTAAAAATAAATATAGTCCTTTCTTTCTTCTTTCCCAACCATAAAAACTAGAAAATCATATTAGGCCGAGCAGATGTAATAAAACCTTGAAATTTGGAAATGAAGTACTCAGAAATTTAACAAATAGTAGGGCTCAGTAAGGATTTGCCTTTCTATTTATGCTCTATGGTAAGGACTTTAATTATATGATCTCATAATAATCTTGTGTCTTGAGAAAGTTATTTCAGAACCTGTTAAGGCCTGACATTAATGCTGATTAACTGTCCCCTCTTAACTTCAGGTGTGGGTAATCTTTTTTCTAGAATAAAATTAGATATGAATAGAATTAACAGGAATACTTGATTAGGTTTAATCAGGGATAGCTAGAAACCATTAGTCAGTGTTTATCTCTCTCAGATACATATTCAAATCCCTAAAAGGACAGAAGTATAGTGACAATGTACTATTGCAACTCATGCAGTCTGGAATGGTTAGGAAAGCATAGCTACTACTGACAGAAATACATGTGTTTATTTTAATTTTTTTATCTCATTTAGAAGATAATTTCTTTAAATGAGAATTCATTTTGCAAAATGAAAAGGAATTTTATTGTGTGTTTTATGTAGCCCTACCCTAGTTTGATGGGAGACACAGAGAGGTGGTTATAATGCAATTGCAGAGGACCAGGATTAAGTCTGGTCATGATTCTATCATATCAGCTATGATTTTAAAATAAATGGCATATGGGTATTTTTTTTTAATAAATGATTGATCTCATGCATAAAATATAGGATAGCCTAGATTACCTTCAGCTTGGCTATGAGCTTAGGCAAACACAGCGGTCTAAAATATGGAAATATGTAGCTTTGCACTGTTCTCTTTTTTGTGTGGTTACTTCTGTGGTACTGGCTGTACTATGTTAGAAACCTTCATACTTGCACAGTGTATCTGGCATTTTGTGGGCTTGACAGCAAACAGAATAGGTTGGTTCAATAGGTACAATGGCTTCCTTAGGATTCTTTCTGAGTCTACTTTGGGGTTTTGATTTCAACTATGATTTTGCAAAAATACACCTTTGGGTTTTGGATTGTTTTTTTGGATGCTGAGAGGCAGCAGAATCCTCACACCTTGAAGAATATTAAAATACTTAATTTGCGTTAGTACAATTTCCATAGAAAAACTTGAACAAACTTTACCTACAACCCAGAGTTTAAAGTGCTTACTTAAAAGGTTCTGACATTTCAAGGGAACTCATAGTTTATAATTTCCCCTTGGATTGGAAAGGAGAAATTAAACAGTGTTATGAAATTTGAAGATCTTATTGTGTAGGTCTGAGACTACAAAGGGCATAAAAGGAAAGTGACTGAGAAGTCATACAGCTGTACTTGTGACAGCCATTGTTCATTTGCCTTTCAGGATACCTAAATTCCAAAACCATTTTAATTCAACTCTACTGAAAATGGGTTTTAAAAATCTTAGGCACATCTTCTATACATTCGTTTCTATGAGACAAGATTGACTGTATAGGTGATATCCCTGCTGAATATTTTAATTGAAATTTTTAATGTCATGATTTCAGTTGGAATTTAAATATTGTGGTTTTATCATAGAGTTGTAGAGCAGAAATCTAAGCAGAAATTAGTTTGCATTTACACCGCATTGATTATAGCCTGAATTTCTCTATTAAAAATAACCTCCTAGAACCAGTGGTTTTAAAAT